GAGCGGAAGAAACAGGAAGTGAGTCACAGCCAGAAGATGGAGTCTCTGAAACAGCAGTACAAGGCCTCAATAGAAGGTGTGTGTGCACGATACAGACACTCACAGACACACACAGACACACACACTCACAGACACACACAGACTCACACACACACTCACAGACACACACACACTCACAGACTCACACACACACAGACACACACACACACACAGACACACACACTCACAGACACTCACAGACACACACACACACACAGACACACACACACTCACTCACAGACACACACACACACACTCACAGACACAGACACACAGACACAGACACACACTCACAGACACAGACACACAGACACAGACACTCACAGACACAGACACACACAGACACAGACACACACACACACACTCACAGACACAGACACACACTCACAGACACTCACAGACACAGACACACAGACACAGACACACTCACAGACACACACACACTCACTCAGACACACACACACTCACTCACAGACACACACACACACACTCACAGACACAGACACACAGACACAGACACACTCACAGACACAGACACACACTCACAGACACTCACAGACACACACACACACTCACACTCACACACAGACACTCACACACACACACAGACACACACACACACACTCACTCACACTCACACACAGACACTCACACACACACACAGACACACACACACACACTCACACAGACACACACAGACACACACACTCACACACAGACACACACACTCACACACAGACACACACACTCACAGACACACACACAGACACACTCACAGACACTCACAGACACACACACACACTCACAGACTCACACACACACACACTCACAGACACTCACAGACACACACACACACACACACACACACACACACACACACACAGACACACACAGACACACACAGACACTCACAGACACACACAGACACTCACAGACACACACAGACACACACACTCACACACAGACACACACACTCACAGACACAGACACACAGACACAGACACACTCACAGACACACACACTCAGACACAGACACTCACAGACACACACACACACACACAGACACTCACAGACACACACACACACACACACACACACACACACACACACACACTCACAGACACTCACAGACACACACTCACAGACACACACAGACACTCACAGACACTCACAGACACACACAGACACACACACTCACACACAGACACACACACTCACAGACACAGACACACAGACACAGACACACTCACAGACACACACACACTCACTCACAGACACACACACACACACTCACAGACACAGACACACAGACACAGACACACTCACAGACACAGACACACTCACTCAGACACACACACACACACACACTCACAGACACAGACACACTCACTCAGACACACACACACACACACTCACAGACACAGACACAGACACACAGACACACAGACACAGACACAGACACACACTCACAGACACACACAGACACACACACACACTCACAGACACAGACACACAGACACAGACACACTCACAGACACACACACACTCACTCACAGACTCACACACACACACACTCACAGACACTCACAGACACACACACACTCACAGACACTCACAGACACTCACAGACACACACAGACACACACACACTCACACAGACACACACACTCACAGACACAGACACACAGACACACACACAGACACACACACACTCACTCAGACACACACACACTCACTCACAGACACACACACACACACACTCACAGACACACTCAGACTCACAGACACACACACACTCACAGACAGACACACACACACTCACAGACAGACACACACACTCACAGACAGACAGACAGACACACACACTCACAGACAGACACACAGACACAGACAGACACACAGACAGACACACAGACACAGACAGACACACAGACAGACACAGACACACACACAGACAGACACTCACAGACACACTCACAGACACACACACACACTCACAGACACACACAGACACTCACAGACACACACAGACACACACACAGACACACTCACAGACACAGACACACACACTCTGTCCTCTTTGTCGCTCTGATTTCTTTCTCCCGGCTCAGAGATGAAGACCATCCATCGCTCCGACCTGGACACTGTGGAAAAATCCCTGCAGGACACCGAAGCTTCTCTCTCTGTAAGAATCACTTTACTGCCATCATCACATTTCCATCACTCTGTGACATCAGATGAACCTTCATCAGTCCCACACGTGGGAAATTAGTTTGGTTACAGCAGCAAAACATAAGAAAAATAGAATAAAATAGAATAACATACTGTGCAATATAGAATAGAACAGAATAGAGTGCTATAAACATGAGAATGAGGTGATGCGTCTGCTCAGCGCGGGGCGAGCGTGGCCGTCAGGGCGTTTGAATCGGTGACTCTGCAGCGCTGCGTTCGTGCTGAGGCTCGCACACGTTTTCCCTCCAGGTGCTTCCAGATGTTTGTGTGTGGAGGAGAGCCGAGGATCTATCTGTGCTGCCGGCTCAGACGCTCAGGAGGCCAACACAAACCTGAGCTCGGTCTGCAGACGTGTTCCTGATGAATCTGTAGTTTACCTGCCGCTGAGCTCAGCGTGAACTCTAACAACGGCGCCTCTGTTTCCCCCTCAGGAAAAACTCTCCGAGCTCACGGCGGAGAAGGAGGACCTGAGCGAGAAGCTGCGAGCTGAGGAGGAGAGGAGGAAGAGGATGCTCACCGACAAGAATCTGGTAACGATGGTTTAATCTCCCTCTGAACTCCTCCTAGCAGCACTCGTGAAGCCCGCTGCTGACCATGACTGCCCCCTGCTGGTGTGGAAGAGCAGTGACTAACTCATACTAAAGGGACAGGAAATGTGTGCTTGTTGTGCTGCTGTAATGCTGCTTAAAGCGCCGAGGGTTCCTGCGCTCACCTGCTGTGTCTGTGCTGTTTGTGCAGAAGGACTCGCACACTGTGTACCTGGAGAAGGAGCTGGAGAGTCTGAAGGTGGTGCTGGAGATCAAGAACAACCAGCTGCATCAGAAGGAGAAGAAGCTGATGGAGATGGACAAACTGGTGGGTGCAGATCTGTTTCCGTCTCAGCAGATCTAAGAATTCCTTATCTAGCAGCATCGGCAGCCTCCCGGGAATCTCCCGTGCTTTGTGACTGAAGCTTTGGAAACAGTTGTTGTGTTTGTCTGGTGTTACTGCCGGAGCGTCTGCACACAGCGAGCATCGCACAGCGAGGAGCCGAGCCTGATGATTGGATGAAAAAAACGTTCTGTGTGTGTGTGTGTGTGTGTGTGTGTGTGTGTGTGTGTGTGTGTGTGTGTGTGTGTGTGTGTCACAGGTGGAGACGAATGTGAAGCTGGAGGAGTGTCTGAAGAAGGTGCAGCAGGAGAATGAGGACTACAAGGCCAGGATGGACAAACACGCCGCGCTGTCCAAGTACGTACTCCAGGGGGCTCATCCCCATCCAATCGTTCAGCTACCTCCTGGTTTCCTCCCTCCCTCTCCTGGTTTCCTCCCTCCCTCTCCTGGCTTTCAGATAAATGTTAAAAGGCCTGTCGCAGGGACCGCCGGCGCCTCTCGCTCTCGCTGCGTGAGTTGTGATGATGAGGGTTTATCTGCTGCTGTTCTTTGACTCATAATGTGAAGAACGAGACGTTCTGTGAGAGACGAACATGTTTCTGCTCCGTAAATACAAAAGAAAGCAGATTTCAGGCAACGAGGAGCGCGAGAATGTTGATTGCTTAAAGCCTCGGAGCACATATCTCTGTCCTGTTATTGTGGCTCGTGTGAATAAGAAAGTGACTGTTTGCCTGTGAAAAACACTTAAAAATCAACTTTGTATTTGCAGTGAGTGAAAACATCAGACGTGTGGCTTTAACAGCGTTCAGAGTAAAATCCCGCCACAGCAGCACGAACGACGGCGCCTTTTAAACGTCCCGCGTGCGCCTGTCGTGATCAGAACCCATCAGCCTCTCAGCGGGCGCGTGGAAGCTGTAAACGAGCGGCTCCCCTTTCGATAAATCCTTGCCCGTCTCATGGCTCTCTGTCTCCCCCTGCAGGCAGCTGTCCAGCGAGCAGGCCATACTGCAGCAGACGCTGCAGAAGGAGTCAAAGGTCAACAAGCGGCTGTCCATGGAGAACGAGGAGCTGCTGTGGAAGCTGCACAACGGCGACCTGCTGGCGAGCCCCCGCCGCCTCTCGCCCACCTCCCCCTTCAGCTCGCCCCGGAACTCCGCCTCCTTCACCACAGCTGCGCCATTATCGCCCAGATAACCCACCGCCCCCCCTGCGCTCCCCCCTCCCGAGTTGGAGCGGCGCCGCTGGACATGAAGCCATCGCAGACTTGTACATTTTTAAATAAATATCTTATTTTGAAAAGACGCTGCGGCGGCACCGACGCACTTAAACCAGAGGCTGGGCTGAGCTCGCCGCCTCGGAGCGCCCGGTCCTCCCGGGAGCGTTCTTCCTCCTCTGAAGAAACCAGCAGGCACGCCTCAGGGTCTGTACATAGCTCCTCCTCCCTGACCGCTGCTCCGCTCGCCTCCTCGGGGGAAACCTTGGATTTGTGGATGTTTGTGGAAACGCTCCGCCTCCAAAGAGCGAAGCTCAATCAGCGTTCCAATGGGACGGAGACACGCCTCCCACAGACCTCTGTCCTGTCACGACCTCGACCTTAACCTGCTTTGTGGAATGTAATCACCCGTGGACGTTCGACGTAGGGGGCCGGCCTCAGAGCCAAATATGCAGACCTCCCCTCGCGCCCTGAAATCACCCGGTGCCCAATCAGATGTCTGCCCTGCCGTGCCCCTCCCTCACTGACACACTGGCCTGTGTTACTGTTTCTGTTGTTTGTCCTGAAAAACCTCAGATTTACCCAGAATGCCTCAGTGTACAATGTTCTTTTTTGTTGTTTTGAACAGAATAAATGCGACATGACATCATACGAAGGCGCTCTGACTTTATTTCACAGCATCAAAGTGACCTCGGCTTCACGGAGCGCCTCGGCCCGCCGCCGGGACCACGTCAGGACCGCCTGGCAGGTAAACGTCCGCTGGAGGCGGCGCTTCGAGGTCGGACGCTCGTATCATCATGACGACAGACTTGATGGAGTAGGCCCAGCCGTGCCACGTGTACCACACCACGCCGTCGTCCGTCATGGCTTCGAACGGCCCGTCGTAGTAGTGACCGTTCAGGTTACCTGCGTTACACCTGTGAGGGGGAAGTCACAGAACAGTCAGCTGACACGATCGGCCAATAGCAGCTGCTTTAATCGCACTCTGCTCCAATTAAAGGGACAGTCCACCGAGCGTCTTCACGTCTATCCTGATAGTTCAGCTGCAGAGACGAAAAGCTTCATGATCGAAGCACCGAAAACGAGCCGTGAGAAGCTCAGCAGCATGAACCCTGCTGGGTTTAATTTTAAGGGATAAAAGTTCAGGTTTTTCTAATAAAACTTTATTGATTGATTCTCTACTCCGCTTTTTCTACCCGAGTTTAAAAAGACCTGAACTCTGATTATAAATCGGAGCAGCTGCTGTGAGAATCACGAGAAATCCTCAGATTTCTGCTGCTGGGACGTCAGCGGAAATCTGCTGGGCTGCAGAAAAGTTTGGGAACAGCTGCGTTAGGGAACATGGGGAGGCAGAAATCAAACGAGCTGATTATTAACCTTTGGTTTAAAGGACGGTGAACTTTAACTAAACACTAAAAGCAGCAGCCACTGAACAAACGCTTCAAAGCTCTTTGTGCAAAGAGCTTCAAACAGACACACAAAGATCTTCATCTCCACAGTTCCCATGAAAGGTGCGTTTGATTTTATGAGTTGAACACAAAACTGCAGAAATGAAAGACGAACAAAGAAACGCAGCAGCTGGAATTTAAATCTGAATGTCTGAGGCTGAATCACGTTTATCAGCAAGATGTCAGTTTCCCGGGGTCACGGTGTTGGCGGGTGATGCTTGGCCCCGTCGCTCTGTCTCGTGTGGAGGACCGACTCTACAGCTCAGTTTTGGTGTACTGTCCCTTTAAGCCTGCAGTAAACGCGTCGCCGTGCGCGTCTCACCTGCTGAACCACCAGCCCGACTTGCTGTGTCTGACGCACTGAACGTCGGCGTCGATGCAGTTCGGCCGGTCGTAGGTGCTGAACTTCACCCCGTCTGCGCATGGACTGCCCGGTCCCGCCACGTGGGCGTCGTCCAGAGCGTCGCCAGCGTTCCCAGTGAACTCGCCCAGATGTAACTGGTACTGGTCCTTCAGGTGAACACGGGAGTGAAAGCAGAGTGATCAGGCTCACACCTGCAGCGCGACCTTCAGCGAGGACACTTAAAGCCATTTACAGCCGGACCCTGTTTGACGCGAACCTCACAGGTCCGTGACGGCGAGGAAGACCACGCGCTGAAACTGCGAGTGCTGCAGGAGCTCACAGTTACAAATCTGATGCTCAGACTCATCGCAGCCAGTTCGTTCAGCACCAGCTGATTAATCAGACGCCTTACACACACACACAAAACGTGCAGTCAGCAGAGTGACCCGGGTTATTGTTCTGCAGCTACGTTTAACGACGCCCCTTCAACGCATCATTTTCACAGCCTTTGAAGGCCTGAGGCCACACCTGGGTTCAGGTTTAACGTCAGGGTCAGGTGTGGGGCCTCCTAAAACAGCAGCAAACAGCTCGTCTTACTTCCTCCTCTCGTGGTCATCGCGCCGACACTGCGGAATATTCTGCAGCTCCTCCCCCTGCTGTTAGTTTATCTGTGTTTATCCTCAGCAGTGCAGGAACACAGAGAGGGAGAGGACCGCCGATGGGAACAGAGACCGGCGGTGACCTTGATGCTGCTGCTGGGGACCGTAGTCTAAATAAGACCGAGTGTTATGAGAAACCCATAGGAGGTCAAAGGTCAGGGAGAGGCTGTAAAGTGTTCTTAGCGTCAGATTGAATTTAAAGCTGAGACGTTCCCGCGGTTACTTGAGTTTCACCTGTTCGCCGTCCACCTTGAAGCTCTTGTACTCGGCGAAGCGCTCGTTCCCCTCAAAGTCCTCCATGTTGATGCGCAGGTCATAGTTCCCTAAAACACAGAAAGCATCAGACAGACACACACACAGACACGCACACACACACACAGACGCACCTTGTGATGTCAGATGGTGCAGGGGTTCATTGCCCAACCAGAACTCTCCAGCAGGAGAGAAGAGGTCTCCGAATCCATGCTTGTACTCCACCCACGCTCTGCGCGCGCACACACACGATGACACATTTGTTTGCACTGTTCACGTGTTCACGTGTGTAAAGGTGACACACCTGTCGAAGCTCTCTTTGCCGTCTCTCCTCCTCTGGAAGACGGTCCACCCTCCTCCGTGGTTCATGTCGCAGTACACGCTCAGCGCCGTGGGAGCGCCGTCTGGGCGAATCACGTACAGCCCGCTGGCCACGTTTCCATCCTCAAACACCTCAGAGCAGTCTATACACACACACACACACACACACACACACACACACACACACACACACACACACACACACACACACAGAGACAAGAAAAAGATCTGGTTCAATCCCAGGAGGAGACCTCGTCCTCCGTAACGCTGCATCTGTCTGACATGAGTCTAATAAAATAACCATTCCCGGGTTTCTCTGATCTTGTGACGCTCTGTGTAGACATGGTTTGTTTCTCAGATAAAGGAAAGCGTCCGGTGCTGACGATGTAGGGTTTGACCCACACACGGTGGATGCAGCCGTACCTCTGTAGAGGTCGTCGAGGCCCAGGTACGAGTTGGGGATCTGCTGCAGCTGCTGCGCCTGGCTGCTGTGGAGCTCCTGGATGTAGCGGTGCTGCTCACTGATCACGTTCATCAAGCCCTGGATCTCCGCTTCCAGCCGGCTCACCCTCTCCTCACACGGCACCGGCGCCTGGACAGGAGGATAAAAACGCTCTCCTCTGGCACTCGGCAGTAACGAAGAAAGTATGAGAGGATCATTGTTGTCCTCATCAGTGTTTCTGTGATCTACTCTCAATCCTGACTGAAGCTCGTCACAGCAAACACTCCCATGATTTCTGAGACTGTTTCAAGGACTTTAAAAATGAAATCATTTAAGTTTCTGCCAATGAAACTCCTGCAGAACTGCCAATGCTTTGATATTAATATATACAAATGCAGTTTGAAATAAATCCATATTTATGATGCTGAAATCGTGTGAAGCTGCGAATCTAAACGATATAAAAGCCGAGATTAAAGAATCATCTTATACACACTGATGCCTCACCTGCAGCGTGGAGGTAAAGGTCAAAGGTTATTGGGATTACTTTTAGTAAAGGTACTTTTTGTAATCGCCTCATGCAGATTTGAATGAAAACGTTCACCAGCAGGGGGCAGTGTTACAGTGACCGCGTGCTGTTTAACGTTGATTCAACACGCTTTGTTTTTATTGTAAATGTGTTGTTAAATACTGAAGTTACACTGACTCACTGCTCCCTCGTGTGGAACAAAATGGTATTACATGCACGTCCAGCTCAGCTCTGAACTCGAATGCAGATCTTTTCAACAGAATATGGAGATATTTGGGCAGAATGTGCGTGGTGCGTGTTTCTTAGTTTAAAGGAAGTTAGCAGACGTACTTTGAGTTACTCAGCACTGCATCAATAAATCACAACGCAAAATTAGAGCTGAAGCTTGAACAGATGAGTTATCAAAGTGGGGTTCAAAAGGTCAAACCAAAATAAAACTGAAATATGATCATTACTGTTTATTTCTAATGTTTGTATTTTACTCTGTCACAATAAAGTAAACATTCAGTTTTTATTCTGTTTCTGTCATTTGTTAGTTTGGTTGATGGAAATAAAAATCCTGAGACTGAAGTGCAGAAAAATAAAATGATACCAGTGAGATGAATTTCTTGTTCTGTACAGTAAAAATGAAATCTGAATCTAAACCACGTTCAACACCAACGTTCTCATTTTTCAATAAGTCATCGGAGAAGCACAAACAGTGTCCCTGTGGACAGAGCTCAGTCTGCGCTTCCACTGGAACAAAGCGACGGCTGCATTTTTCACCCCTCTGTCATCAGCTGTGTGAGGACCCAAATCTCAGAGATACTTAAAGCAGGAAGTACAGAGTGCACGAGGAGAAATATGTCACACGGACGCTCCGGTTTCTTACCGCCACAGAGGAAGCCAGGTGAAGCAGAAAGGCCACGGACGTCCTCAGCGTGGCCATCATCGGCACTCTCATCGACTCGCTGCCCGACCCTCCTCCGATTAGCCTCTCCGCCTCCTCTGACATCGCTGCACAGCCGTGGGGAGCCTCCATCTAGTGGCTGCAGTGACTGAGCCAGCAACACCGACCACTGTACACAACAAAGATAATGACGTGATCACCAGTGAATGGGTCAGGAGAGACATAAATAAATGCTAAAATAAAACCATTTCTATACACTTATTTTTATCTACTTCTCTGTATGTTAATACAAAGAGCAAATCTGACCATCAGAACTGATATGGCATGTATTTCTAAGTAGTTATTAAGTTTTATTCAGCAAACAAACACAAATGTTGTATAATGTGCATGGGTACACATGTTTTATTACTGGCATTAAATTTAACTCAATTAATCATTAAGTGCATTTAAAGTAAACATTATTTTAATTTTCAGCTAATTCCCTCTATTTGTGTCATTGTTAGTCTTCCGTTCCGCACAACGTAACACCGTTAGCTAGTTATATTAGTTATTTATATTACAGTTATATTACAGCATATTTAATACATAAAAACAAACAAAACAAAAACGTGCGACTCCGGTGGGACTCGAACCCACAACCTTTGAATCACTCCTCAAGTGCTTGACTAGAAGTCCAATGCGCTATCCATTGCGCCACGGAGCCACCTGTTGCTCAGGCTGCAATGACAGCTTTTTAAGATCCTCTTTCCACACGAGGTCCTAGCAACACGGCTAATCCGCCCGTGTCCGCTACACAAACAATAATGCTATAAAATAGCACTTTAATGCTAACGTTAGCTTAGCACCGCTGCTAGCTGCTGTCAGCCGGCCCGCTTCTCCTCCGCCCTCTCTTCGTTAGCTCACACATGGAGGCTCAGGCTCTGTCCTCAAAGACAACTACTCCTCCGACACTGATCATATTTGCTTTAGCAGTCATGACGTCAGACTGCTTCGCTTGTTTCAGCAGAAACAACGTCGGAGAGCAAACGTCAATGTCCTAGCTCAATTCAGTGAAAAACACTACGTAAATTGCGTGCAACTGTGTCATTTAAACACTTTATAAACAGATTGAGTCGTGTCTTGAGTTGCAATTTGAGGGTTCATTCTGTGATTTTAGCAGCGGAGTTTTTATTGTGAAATTCTTAAAAACCGGAAGTGATATGTGCGTTTCGAAAAACTAGAAATGGCTGAGAGAACATGCAGGACCAAAATCTAATATGTCTGATATATCGTGACGTGAAACGCGAGGTGAACAGAGAACATCTCCTGTGTTACTTTTATCTGCAGCAATATGCCAGTGTGCTAACGGACTACCCAGGTTTTTGAGGAACCAGTGACAGAAATGTGCCAGAGCCCGGATAGCTCAGTCGGTAGAGCATCAGACTTTTAATCTGAGGGTCCAGGGTTCAAGTCCCTGTTCGGGCGTCGATTTTTTTCGCCCCTTTAGTTAAAGAACCTGCTCAAAGTGAGCCCACATATTCTTTGCATTGCTGCAGTGACTCAAATATAGCTTTTATGTTTTCATTGTAGGAGTAAATGTTAAACGCCTATGACAAGACCTCCCACCCACTCCATGATGTGCTGCCCAGTCACAGGAGCACACTGAGATTACCCATAATGCACCACTGAACGATGCAGAAAATCATTCCTCCCTGTACAACTCAATCTAATACACAGCAGACAGTCCAGCGGTTACACCCTTTTGCAGATGCTCTCCTGTGAAAATATCAAAGTGTTACAGGTTACAGTCAATCATATATATTTAATCGCTGTAATAATCCAGAATTGTAGAGCTATTTTTCGTATTTTGTAAACTTTGCAATAAATGGTTTTTTTATGTAGTTCAGTCTGTTACTGATCTTATTGTCTTGGAGTGACTGTGACCACATCATTTCCTAAGGGATTAATAAAGTATTCTGATTGGGATAAATTTACAACAGAAACATGTTTGGCTGCTGTGGACAGAGTCCAGACACACACAGAGCTGTTGATCGGCTGCTCAGTCAGCCTTTGCTTCAACCTTGAGTGAAGCTGAAGCACACTGGGCCCATGCCCCCTTTTTGGGCTGTGCCAAGGCCCGGCCACCAGATGCTTGCTTTCGGGCACCCTCCCCGGGCCTGGCTCCTCGGGCAGGGTAAAGTGTTCCCTCGGTGATATTCTCATAATGGTCTTCTGAATCGCTCTTTGTCTGGTCCCTCACCCAGGACCAATTTGCCATGGGAGACCCTACCAGGGGGCAAAAGCCTCCAGGCAACAGCCCCTGGGATCCCTGGGACACACAAACCCCTCCACCATGATAAGGTAGCGATTCACATTTTGTTAGCCACGCTGAGGTGCTGGGGGGATGATCTCGTACATGGTTGTCATAGTTTCTGTCATAATCGCCAGCAGAGCCTCTGTCAGTTACTTTTTATTTGTATCTGTTTTTTAGGGTGTCCCACATGGGTCCAATCTGGGACCAGCTCTCCTTTGTCAGGTACATAATTAAATGAGACATTTCTGTAAGCATGATAATTCAGTTTTATTAATACAGCACAACCCGCATCAGTGAACATATTCAGATTCTTGAAAAGATAGTGGCCACACTATCCACTCATACTTAACTAATGATGATCTGTATGAACAGTTCCAGTCTGGTTTTCGTCCCTCCCATAGCACTGAAACCGCACTAATAAAAATAGCCAATGATACTTCTCAGCCCTTTCCTCTGGTTGCAGGCGTGCCCCAGGGATCTGTCCTGGGGCCCCTTCTTTTCATTATCTTCTTCCGCTTGCACACATTTTTTGTAAATACAATATCCAGTTTCACTGCTATGCTGATGACACCCAGCTTTATCTGTCCACTAAACCTGATTCTGCTCTCCCCCGTCCTCCCTCACCCTCTGATTAGCCGAACTAAATTCATGGTTCTCTTCCAATTTTCTCAAACTCAATAGTAACAAATCTGAGCTCCTCCTGGTCGGCACTAAACAAACACGATCCAGAACTAATAGCTTTTCCCCATGAGTGAAAAGTCTGGGTGTCATGCGCGATGCTACTCTATCTTTTAACCCACACATCAATAACATCTCTTGGTCTGCATATTTCCAACTCCATAACATTAATCGTCCTTTTCTCTCCCCACATGCCGCGGCCATTCTTAGCCTGGCCACTCTCCGGATCGATTACTGCAACTCTCTTCTTTTTGATCTTAGTCAAAAATCTATCCATCAGCTTCAGCGTGTCCAGAACTCTGCTGCTCGTATCATCACCAGGACTCCTTCTATGCACCACATCACTCCTGCTCTGCAGCAGCTTCACTGGCTTCCAGTTAAATACCGCATCAATTTCAAGATACACATTCAAGGCTACCCATCATCTCTCGCCTTCATACCTCTCTGACCTGGTTCAGCTCACCATCCCTTCTCCGTGTCTCACATCCTCCTCCTCTCTTTCTCTTTCCGTCCCTTCCCCCAGCTAGCCACCGTGGGGCCCCCATCATCCCTTCCTCCTGAGATAAGAAACATCACTTCCCTCCCTCTTTTTAAGTCCAGACTCAAAACTCACCTGTTCACATTAGCCTATTCCACATACATTTGTCCATCCTGCTACTTTAATTTATTTTATTTATTTGCTCAACGTTTTATCCTTATTATGTTTGTTCCTGTTATTGCTTGTGTACAGTGTCCTTGACTGTTTTTAAAGGCACTTTGATAAATAAAATGTATTATTATTATTAGATGGAGCACAGGATGAGACATATCTGCAGTCTGAGAATAAAAGCCTGCAAAGTTAAAATTATAATTAAATAACTGTTAAGTCTGGATTGTTCAGAAATATCAAAGTGTGACAACAACCACGAGTCTACAGTGACCTCTGCTTATCCTTACCAGGGTTTCAGCGGGGCTGGACCCTATCCAAGACGAGATACCCCCTGTACAGGTCCACAGACACTTATGTGAATTTCAGAATCATCGTTAATCCCACTGTGGACTGTGGGAGGAATCTGGAGTACCCAAATATTCCCTTTGAATTCAGGTAAAATTGAAGTTTCCTTCAAAATAAAAAAAAAAACTAATTCACATAGTTTTAAGAATTAAAATCAGCACGAGGCTGTGAGTGTGAGTACACTTAATAACAAAAACCAATCAGTCAGAATCTGAAAATAAACATGAGCAAAACCACAGAGTCACCAGTGAAAATGTTCCTCACACAGGATCAGACCAGATTTCTAGTTCGTGTGATCGACAGCAGTGATCAGCAGAGGTGCAGAGTTTTTACCATCATCACTAGTACAAGGACAAAAGTACGGGAAGAGCTTCTCTGTGAAGGAGCAGCCAGTGAACGAGTAGATCAGAGCTGCAGCATCTACGTCATAGAAGGAGACCAGACCCTCCTCATAGTCCACAAACACCCCCACCTTCTCAGGACCAGACCGGAGACAGAGACGGACCGGAGGGGCGGCACAAGCACTGTACTCACTTCCATTTCTCAGACAAACAGTCCAGAGACCGTTCTGAGGAATCAGTCTGATGTTTCCCTTCCTGTTGATCGACTCTGTGGACACTCCTAAGTCCCAGTCAGTCTTTCCTTTAACCTGAACCTCAAAGTAAAATCTGCCTGAAGAGAAACTCTGCTCTGCTAAAACACAAACACAGTAAGAAAATCTCTCTGGGTTGTCCGGAAGTTTCTTCCTCACATCACCATGATTCACTTGTTTTCCATCGTCAGACAGGATGAGATAAGGATTTGCTGTATCAGGATCCAGAGTCACGTCCACTGCATCCTGCTGGACCCTCTTCAGCTCTGCAGCCTCAAACAGCTTCTTCATGTCTTTCCTGAGTGTCTCCACAGCTCTCCCCACAGTCCCCTCATATGATGGTGGACGGACTCTGACCTCTGTCCAGTCCTTGGTGGGTGAAGCAGCTTTCAGGGAGGAGAAGCTTTGGAGGAGGTGGAGGTGGTCTTCAGAGCGTGAGAGCTGCTCCACCTCAGAGCTTCTCTCCATCAGCTCAGAGATTTCCTGTTCCAGATCTTTGATGAGTCCTTCAGCCTGTTTCTCTGTAGTTTCCTGTTTGTCTTCGATCTCCTTTATGAGCTCCTTCAGGCGTCTCTCAACAGACTCCATCAGAGCCGTGAGGACCTGAACACCTTCTGCTTTCTGTCTGTCTGCAACATCTTTCCTCATCTTCACCGACTCTTTGATCTCCTGAATCTTCAGTCGTCTCTTCTGGATCATCTGCTGAATCTCAGCCTCTGTCTTCTCCAGCTCTGCCTTCTTTCCTTCGTATTCTTCTCTCAGAGGAACAACTTCATGAGCCTTGTGATCTAAAACAGAGCAGAGCATGCAGACACATGTCTGGTCGGTCTTACAGAACAGCTCCAGATGTTTATCGTGCTTCCTACACATCCTGCTTTCCAGGTTCTCCACAGGCTCAATCAGCTGATGTCTTTTCAGACTTGTAGCTGTCAGATGAGGCTCCAGGTGAGTCTGACAGTAGGAGGTCAGACACACCAGGCAGGACTTCAGGGCCTTCAGTCTGGTTCCAGTGCAGACGTCACAGGGAACTTCTGCTTTCTGCTGAGCTTCACGTCTCTGAGCAACCATCTCAGACAGCAAAGTGTTCACCCTCAGCTGAGGTCTATTGGGAAACGCCTTTTTACATACTGTACACTGACATGGAAAATTAATATCCCAGTGCTGAGTGATGCACTTTTTGCAGAAGTTGTGTCCACAAGGTGTGGTGACCGGATCAGTGAACACATCTGGACAGATGGGGCACAGAAGCTCATCGTCAGACAGCAGATTGGTGGCAGCAGACATGTCTGCAGTCTGAGAACAGAAGTCAAAGTTAATATTGTAAGCAAATAATTGTTGTTTAGAAATATGAAAGTGTGACAACAACCATAAGTTCAAGCAGTGACCTCCAGATATTCACTTCAATTTTAAATTCACTTTTATTCATATAGCAACAGCAGCTGTATACTGTAACGAGCCTGCAGTGATTCAGAGAAATCAAAAGGTGACCCCCTACAAACAAGCACTTGGTGACAGTGGGAAGGAAAAACTCCCTTTTAACAGGCAGAGGCAGAACCAGGCTCTGCCATGTTGGCTTCTCTTCACTGGTTCCCTGTTAAATCCATTCAGGCCAATGAAAAGACTTTCGGTCTGCCTCATAGTAATTCTGGCAAACCATCAGGCGACTCCGGAGGGGAAAGCCCAAGGTGGGGTCCTAACCCTAACTCTTCAACAGGTGGTCGAAGACATACTTTGAGGACCTCCCGAATGCCACTGATTGATCCTCTATGAGGCAGGGGCTGGGAATTACTCAACCATCTCGGAGGGTGAGGTCACCGGCGCAGTGAAACAACTCTTTGGAGGCCAGGCTCCTGGGCTGGATGAGGATCGCCCCAAGCTCCTGAAGGGCCTGGATGTTGTAGGCGTGTCATTGTTGACACACTATGATACTTTCAGTGGAGATGTGGGGTGGTGCCTCTGGATTGGCAGACTGTGATGGTTGTTCTTTAAGAAGGGGGATCGGACAGTGTCCTTCAACTACAGAGGGATCACACTCCTTAGCCTCCTTGGGAGGCTAGCGTACTGGAAAGTAGAGTTTGTGCATTTATAGTTTAACCTCAGACACACAAGGAACAATGCAGATATCATCCTCAGTTCAAGTGTGTGAGAGTTTGTCCATCTAGTCTACAACTGTGGAATTGGAGACGACATACAGCGACATCCCTCAGAGGCTGGGGGTGCTTTGGGACCGTCTCATAGTCTTCAGCCTCTCCCATAGTCAAGAACTCTGGGCAGCAACTGAAAGACAACGACTGTAGACACAAACTACAGAAATGAGCTTTCTCCAAAGGGGGGCTGGTTACTCGCTACTTCTCCACATGAAAAGCAGAGAGCTGTGGTGGTTCAGGCATTCGCCCAATTCAAAATCCTGCTCCTCACATACAAGGTCTTAAATAATCAGGCCCCATCTTATCTTAATGACCTTGTAGTACCATATCAGCCTATTAGAGCACTTCGCTCTCGCTCTGCAGGCCTACTTGTTGTTCATAGAGTATTTAAAAGTAGAATGGGAGGCAGAGCCTTCAGTTTTCAGGCCCCTCTTCTGTGGAACCAGCTTCCAGTTTGGATTCAGGAGACAGACACTATCTGTACTTTCAAGATTAGGCTTCAAACTTTCCTTTTTGCTAAAGCATATAGTTAGGGCTGGACCAGGTGACCCTGAATCCTCCCTTAGTTATGCTGCAATAGACGTAGGCTGCCGGGGGGCCTGTGGTTTATATGCCACTCTGCATTTCAGTTATTATTCATCTCTGGCTCTCCCACAGTGTGTCTTGGTGCTCACTTCCTCCCCTCAACCCTAACCCGCGGTTAAAAGTGAGTATTTCCTTCCCACTGTTGCCAAATTGGGTTTTCTCTGTATTATCACATGACCATGATATAGGCACCTTGTCGTGATCTGTGAAGTGAACTTCCTGTCATGCATCCCATAAATGGCTTCAAAAGTGTGTTGGTTTGACAGGCATGTGACCAAACACGTGTTTTGACTGTTGCAGGCAAACATACCGTCAGCTCAGGTAAAACAGTTTAATCTTCACTTTTTACTAATTATATGAGGTTTTTATCTTTTACGTCTCAGACTGAGTGAAAATTGACATTTTCTTATTTGCTCATTTGAAATTTGACCTCAGTCTGTATCTTGTACTCTGTTTTTTCATTTGGTTGGTGCATTCACAGCTTTAACATACTTTGAAAACCCAGTGTTCAGATTTTGTACCTGATAAGCTGACAAATGTAAAAGTCAGTGTAGTGCCACCACTGAAGACCTGAACATCATCTTACTCACTGCAGCAAGAACAAAGCTGCCCTCTCTGAATGAGTCTGACAGCTACAATCAGAGCACGCTCTACAAAGCTGTTGGTTTAATCCCCAACCTGAAACATTGAGTTTACAAACCGCTGCACTCACCAGTATCTGAGTCAGGTGTTGACAAAGACTCGTGTTTGAAGATGAAATGGTTTCAACTAAAGCTTCCGTTACTCTGAGAAGCTTCATCCGCCCTGACAAACACTTCCTGCTGTTTTTTTGTCAGGTTTCCTTTGGTAGGTTTGCACTGATCACAGCTGCACACCTGAAACAAGACGAGCTTCAGACGCAGGCCCTTCTTTAGTCTGACAGCAGCAGTTTTCACAGGTTTCACTCGGTGAGCAGAAACAAGCTGCTGCTCTGGTCTTTGAGAGTTCACTGCAAAAACATGAAGTTTAAACAGGAAACATCCGATTTAACAGATTTATTTAACTCTCATGGGTGCAGGAGGTCAGAGGTGTCTTTGGTTTGCCCCGTCGCATGTTTAGCCTCCATGAGGAGCGATCCTACCTGGAAGACCAGCCCCACAGCGCCTCCGTGTGGGAGTAATGTGAAACAGCTCTAAATGAGAAGAAGGTTTTTGGTAGCCCTGTTTCTCGTGGCTGTACTGATCTTTAGATGTGAGCGTGCAGCTGCTCCACGAGCTTCTATCTGAAACGTCGCATTTCTGTCTCCTGTGGCGATGAAGCTGCGAAGGCTCAAAAATGCTGCAGCAACGATGTGGATTAAACATAATTTGATGGTCCACAGAAAATAATTATGATAAAAGAACATTGTATTACTTCATTAAATATGCAAAGTTAGGATTTCTCCCAATGTGTGAACTGCTGGAGGAGGTCAGAGGTTAAAGGTCAGAGCGGTGTCTCAGTCTGGTTTTAAAGCTCTAACAGAAAATGACCTTTTATTGACGACAGACGATCGACCAATAAAAAGCTGCAGCAGGAAAAACAAGAAAACTGATATTTTCATTTCCATCATCATTTAAACGCAGGAGCACGCAGCTCTCCTCCAATCAGGAGTCAGCATAAGGCCAAACCTTTTTCTTACCACATTTGTAATCAGATTACATTTTACAGTCCACGTTTCAAACACTGAACATCAGCGCAGCCACCGTCCTGCAGCAGGAAGTTTATGAACCATCACAACATCACTGATGTCAGTGATGCAGCACAGCTGGTGGAAGGAAACATGCAGATGTTCACAGATGTTCAACTTCTGTAGATGAGGAAATATCCAAGTAATTTAATGTAACTGAATATTGAATCTTCCATATTTAATATCTAAGTTTATTCCTTTATGTGTTTATAATCCTGGAAAATTAAATCATGCAAATAAACATTTTCAGCTTCAGGCAAGCTCACAGAAACACAGACTGTATATCAAAGATGGATGTAGCTTCTGGTGATGTATCGAATGCAATCGTTAAATTACGAGACAAGTTTAATAAATATGGAGGACCAAGAAAGTCTAAACATTTCATGAGTTAATAATTAATTGGGGCAATAAAATATGCATTAGTAATTCCAATTATAAATTATTATCTAAATAAAGTAATTAAGGAACTATTAAAAGCTGAAAGGAAAATGGATTTACATTTAAAAAAAAAATCAAATCACTCAAAAATCTTTGTTAAAAATATTATTTTGAAAATTTAAAAACAGGTTTTTCAAAATAAAGGAGAATCAAGTGAATGGATGAAGATTAATCTCTATGATTCGTCCTTTTCAAATCCACGTCCTTCCCGTTAGCTGCTGGATCACATCTGGGATGAACTCTTTTGGTCTTTGGAGGGAAATCGCCGTAAGAACGAGTCGCGTTTCAGAGCGTCGGCTCCCTTTTATTCCCCTCGCTGTTAACAGTAACGTCGTCATGTACAGAAACATCACATGATTATTTAAAGCATGGCTATGATTTTCCACGTTGCATAAAACGGCCTCGTCGTAACAGGATCAGCTGCTACTTCACTCCTGGAAACACAGACTGTATAACAAAGATGGACAACAGAGTGGCGAACCGTTCCAGTACAGCTGTGATGTCACCCACCTTTATTTACACTCAGACAGGAGGATGGTAAACCACAGCTGTGTGTCATTGCTCCGCCCACTTCCTCACTCCGCCCACAGCGTGAGGCTGGAGGGGCTTCCCCGAACAGTCCTCCGTACGCGGAGGCTCAGCGTGTCCCGTGGAATCAAACACACAGATCACAGAAAGACAAACCCACCAACCCCGACCAAACAAGCAGCTACAATCAAAAAGTCACGTCAGCGTTCATCAGCTCCTCCTCCCGTCTGTTGTTATAGGTGACGCGCAGTCACAGCTGGCAGGCGTTTGAGCTCAGGAGAAGAAGAGCTGCTCGCACAGGCGCCGCGTCTCCTCCGGGCTGGACACCTCGTGGCCGACGGTCCGGGGGTCGCAGTAGATCTCGTAATCGTTTCCTCCCTGACGTGAAGACAGAGACGCACAGAAAGATGAGCCGTGCTGCAGCTCACGACTCAACGAAGCGGCACGTTAAACGAGGTTGGTGGAAAAGTTTGGCCCCAAACTCGCTGCAGGTTGACAGTCGCACATCTGTGTGTCCTTCAAACACAGCGTCAAACAGCTGCAAGTGTTGCACGGTGACCACTGAACATGCCAGATGTTTGAAACAGGTCAAGTTCCACCCTGAGCCGTAAAAACATGAAACAACGAGACATTCAGACCCTGCCGGCCGGTCTGAGGACCGAAGATTCATCTGTCTGCACCAGGGGTGTTAAACATAAGGCCTGGGGGCCGATGAAGACTCGAACATTCACAGAGCGGCGTAATAAAGACGAACAAGGACGGAAACTCCTCTGAGTGACCTCACAGGAGGATCACAGTCGGAGTAACCTGACTGTGCCGTCAGGGGCGTTTCAGCGGCCCCGCCCACTCAGGTGTGCTGAATGTGGCCCGCGATGTAAACGGCGTCCTGCTCTATAACACACTGTTTACTCTCTACAGTGGACATGCTCACACAGACATGCTGCACTGATGTTCTGGGTACAAACTAACTCCCTGCAATGACAGTATAAGTATTATTAGTATTTATTTATTAAACATATAAATACTTAAAGTCAGCCCCGCTAGAATAAGGAGACAGGTGTCATAAGCCACTCATTACAAGTACTTATGATGTAAGATTACATTCTCAGAGTTACTGCACTGCTTAAAGTTACTTACAGAATAATTATCTTTCTGTTGCTGTGACAACCTGACCTGTTACCTTCCTACCTGTCGTTTCCTCCACCTGCACAGACTTTGTGATGACAGAAAGAATCTACTGATTTCTTTTTTTGGTCTCGGGCTGTAAACAGTTCGTTTAACACGGGGACGGACTCACTGCTGCCCCTGCTGGACACTACAGGAGCTGCGGTATTCAGCTTGCTGCTGGATCCAGCTGCATTTCAGGAATAATGAAACAGATGTTTCCAGGAACGACTCTTTGACCCGACCGGCCATCGTTTACCTGCCGCTGATATTCTGCCTCCGTGAGGAGTCACGTGACACAGTTTGCGTACTCACAGGTTTGGTCTTGTCTCCAAAGAAGTGGATGGTGGAGTAGTCGTCCTTCTCCACGATGCCGAGGCAGTACCTTTTATCCCAGCCGTCAGGAAACACGTCAAAGCTGATCTGACCTCCTGCGGACACACAAAGACCGACAGGCTGCAGGAAACGAAGGCGCCATTGGCATCACAGTGAGGTAGGACAGCCACGCCGCCTCAGTTTGTTTCAGGCTCGCGTCACCTTCAGTGAGGCGGCGTGCCGGCTGCAGCAGACTCACCGATGGAAAACGAGAGTCCTTTTCCTTTGAACTCCTCCTGCAACACGGACACAAACGTCTCTCGGATTTTCTCCTTCTGTAGGAAACAAACACCACCGTCTTCATTTCAGCAGCAGCTTCAGCTTCACAGCGAAAGAACCAAACAGGACTTTTACCTCGTCAGTACATTTTAAATGAGAACAAGCTCAAAACCTACCAAATGTACCACAAACAGACATTTTTGTTAATTACAGGTGGAGGAGGCGGGTGGAGCCGGGGTTTAGGGTCAGCACGTGGGCGTTACCTTGTCCAGCTCGTAGAACTCGATCCGCTCCTCTTGCGTGCAGCTGCGTCCGATCGGAGACACGTTCAGCATCCCGTTACGAAACTCCACGAAGGTGCCCCTGAGAGACGACACAGAGTCACATGACGCCCACCGCAAAACCGCCACAGTCCTGATACATGCAGTGATTCTGACCTTTTGACCTCACGGGTAACACACCTGAAACCCTCACGGTTTCATGGCGAGCACTTTTACAGTTTAAACAGTTTACTCTCACAGCTGAGCCACACCCACAGCCCCAAAGGTAAGAACGGCGTGTTATAACGTGGATCTTTAACCTCCTCGGACCTGCGTCCACAGATGTGGACGTCACATTTTGGGTTATTTAGACCAAAATACTCAATCTTGCTCTACATGGGCCTGATGTCCACTTACGAGGACGCTATGCTGCTGCTGTTCTATCGACATTTAAATAAATATCATCATGAGTGGCTCTGATTTTTCTTTAAGGTAAAAAAAATAAAAAAATCTGGTAATTCTTTGTTTTTACATTCGATATGGCAGCCTCGCCTCTGTCAGTCTGCCCCAGGGCAGCTGTGGCTACACCTGTAGCTGCCTCCACCAGTGTGTGAATGTGAGAGTGAATGAATAGTGGCATTGTAAAGCACTGTATAAATCCACTCCATTATCAGGTCCCAATGTGACCAAATATCAAAGAGAAATTAAAAATGCTGCTGTGGAAGAGTTCAGGTCTGAGGAGGTTAAAGAAACTTTTCACTGTTTAAACCCGTCTGCTGGATCAAACCGACACGCCCTCCGACCGACACGCCCTCCACCCCCCTGCCAGGCTGTTACACACACGCTAACCAACACACGGATGTGCTGTCACCTTTTCTTGGGCAGTTTGATCTTGGCCATGTAGTTCAGACAGAAGTTTATGAAGTCTTGCAGCAGCTCCTCCCCCATGTGGGCCTGAATGGACTGACACACACACACACACACACACACACACACACACACACACACACTATAAATGATGATGTCACTCATTAAGGGAACAAAGGTATCCACACCTGCCTGTCCTGAGTGTAACCTGATACTTGCTGTTTGTCTCACTGGAGGGTTTCCAGCATCAAAGCATCTGAGTCTGGTTTAAGTCCAGACTTTGACTCGGACGCTCCAGAACCTTTATTTTGTCCCTTTGAGCCAATCAGAGGCGGAGCTGCTGGTTCCTGCGTGGTTAGTCTGATGCACACGTGACTCAAAGCTTCAGAAAGTTCAGCTTCTGTCTCGTCAGCCCTCAGAATATTATCCTCCAGATGTTTGTTGGCAGATGTGCGACGAGACTTTGTGATCTTCTTGGTCAGCAGTGGTTTCTGCTTGGACTCTCCCATCTTTGCCCCGCCTCTTTCTTACCGTTGAGTCGTGACCTCTGACCCTAGCTGAGCTTAATAGATGTTGTTCTGGGCTCTTCTGTGACCTCCTGGATGAGTCGGCGATGGTTCCCAGGCTCTCAGCGTGGGTCGCTGGAGTCCCACAGCCTTAGAAATGTCTCCGTCACCCTCTCAGGCTGATGATGTCACTGACTTTGCTCCTCAGCTGCTTCTTTACATGCTGATTCCAGATCAGTTACATAAAAAGGTAAAACGCCGTCTCACCTGCACAGAGTGTAACTGTCCGCTCTTATACGCCACCAGGCCGTTCTCAGCAAACACGTAGTCCACCTTCTGGATCACTGCGCACAGAACCGAGACCAACAAGCGTTATCATCTCTCTGGTATAAGCTGCGTGCAAATAAAGGGACAGTATCAGACAGGATACAGAGCGGCGTTTGTCTCACCGTCGTCTCCCAGCTGCTCCTTGATCTTGCTGAGGTCGGACCCTCCGACGACGCCGACCCGAACCCGAGTCCTCAGCTTCTGGAGGAACTCTGCCATGTCCGGGGTCACCCGCTGAAAACACACAGTGACACGCCCCACATTTACCGCCATGACGGACACAGAGTCTACGACTCGCAGCTTTGTTTATCTTCTGTCATTTATTCATCTTTTGTTGAGCTAGCTGTGGTCTGGATGCTGTGGAGGGTCTATCAGCAGGAAAAGCTGCACAACTAATTAAGCCCAAATATTTATGCCCTTGTTCATATTTTCCAACCCACCACGGGGTGAACTGGAGTCTGATGGGCCACTTCTGGCCCCCGAGCCTTATGTTTGACATCCCTGCACTCAGCCAGGGTTCCCGGCCGGCACAGGCTCAGCTGCTTCCCTCTTCTTTATGCAGTGATGCTTACCCATTCTGTGTGCTGCACAAGCACAGCAGCGGCTCACTGAACCTTCCTCTTTTCCCCAAAAACATTGATTTCAAACTGGTCAGGTGTGTCGCAACACAGGAAACAAACGCTGTGAAACGCTGCGGTTGTGAAACTTTCAGTAACAATCAGTTTATTAAAGATTTAAAAAACGCTGCACACAGTCAAACACGAGAAGCCTTCGACTGACGAGATCAACGTCTCTGTCACTACAGTTATAAACGCCGACGTTTCTGCAAGAAAAAAGGAAATCTGACGACATCAGCAGTTTACCCGTCTGCTGATATTCAACTCCAGCTTCAGTGAAGCTTCTCTGACTCCAGCGGAGTCCAAGTTCTCCTGAAACAGCAAGTCTGCAACCTTTACTGCACTCGCAGTTAGGCCCGAGCTCCCGTTTTAATTTACTTTAATCTTTTTTAATTGAATGTTTTGCATCATCATTATGACATCATCACACATGCTTTCATGGTGTTTACACCAAACACTGACCATGTGATGCACATCAAACCAGGAATGATCAGTTTCCTGTTCGTGGCTGACAGGAGGGGGACCCGGTGCGGTCTTCTGCTGCTTCATGGCTCGCCATGTTGTTCAGAGATGTTCGTCTGCATTCATCAGCATGTATACAATCAGTCTGGCTGCTCTGCTCTGACATCAGCGAGGTGAGAACTGTTGCTCACTGGACTGCTTGTTGTAAACAGAGAGGGCTCTCTTTAAAGTCTCTGAAATCGTCTTTCTGATGCTCAGGCTGAACTTCACTGAGTGTCTGACACATGATTGGTTGATTAAAATATTTGCTTATTAAGCACTTGAACAGGTGTGCTTGCTGAGTGTACCCTGTTGGCCATTCATCACTACTCGGTTCGTCTTACTTTGCATTTTCATTTCAATGACGTCACATTTTTTAAATCACAGGATGAAAAGTTTGCAACCTTTTACAAATTTTTGCAGTAAAACTGAACAGCTGTGCACACACGCAGGGCTACACTGAAACCAAGAGTCTCGGGGTCATGACCCCTGCTCCACCTAAACCTTCACCTAAAGCAGTCTGCATGGGTCAGAGGTCAGGGTCACCTCCTAAAGAACATTTTAAACATGAGTGACTCTGCTGGAAGAACAGGCCAAACACGTAACCTTGCAGGGCCGTTAGGGGGCGCTTAACCCGGGGATTAGTGACATGCTAGCAGAAACTACCGGGAACACGATTAGCACGAGCGTCGCTTGAGTCACCTACGTAATCAATGGCCACGTGAAGGGTGTTTTATATTTAGGAGGTGACGACAGTGATTATACACACCACGGATATAAATGTAACTAATAGTTTGATGATTTTTTTTTCTAAATCCTAAACTCGTGTTTCACATTGACGTTCCGTCAGACACTTCCTGTTATAGCAAAAAGCTAGCAAGACGTAATTTACCGTTACATGCGTCACCTAATATCTTCTATGTTTAGTAACCACAGCGATAACGTTACACTGTCAGAGATTATTATTTTATTAATATCATTATTATAAAGATGTTTGGCACTGGCAGTCCGCCCATACTGGCTAACGTCGCTTAGCGGAACCATTGTTACGTAGTTTCTGCGGAGCATTTTTGCCTGCGGAAGAACTACAATATCAACGTGTAGCCGGAAGTCGCAGTGTCGGACAGTACAGTCATGTTTGTCTGAAGGTTTGTCAGGTGCACTGATTGTTTTATATCACCAGTGGTCTTGCCCTCGCGCGCGCGGACATATACACAAGCACGCACACATTTCCCACCTGTCTCGCGGCCGTAAGCGTGCCGTCAACGTCAAAGAGGCAGAGCGTGCTCGTGTCCACACCGGCGTCACTCATCTTCCCTCCGCTCCCGGACCCACACAGACACGCTGACCGCCTCCCCGCTGCTCCGAGTGGGCTCGCCTCCTCTGTCGGTGTTCCGTAAAGAGCAGCTCGGTTCTCCCTACACTACCTGCTCGCCGCTTAGAACTACAACCACGGTTCTTCTCTTCTTCTTGGGTGTGTACCAGACTGACAGACGCACAGTGCTGCCACCTGCTGATACTTTGCAGTATCTGCGTAAAAGATTAAACAAATTAACTTTAAACTGTTGTGAAATTACAATGATGTTGTTCATTTTATTTTATTAATTCATGTATTTTTATTGAATCATTTTATATTTACAATTTGCTTATTACTTGTTTTTACTGTCATTAATACTTTGGGACAGATGTGAAGCTTCCTCGCAGATTTTAAAGGCGAACCATTGTGTTCTTCATTATTTCCTGACATCTGCACAGGTCTGTGAAGGTGGATTAAACAGGGTCATATATCATTGTAATTAAACACAGGCTGCAGCTGTAGATAAATAAAAACAATTTAAAATTCCTTTGTGTGTTTAGTGAGTTTAGTTTGGACTCTCTTGTCTCCACACTTCCTCCTCTTCATCGTGTGCTTTTGGCTCATGAACCAAACCCGTGTCTTTTCAGCTACGTTAGAGTTTAATGTTGGACCAGGAACATTTTTCCTGTTCAACTTTGCACAGCTGCTCAGGAAAATGAGTAAATTATGAGCCCAGGGTTGTGCAACAGGGTTTGTCTTCATTTGATATCGCTTCAACACAACACACAGATGTTGGGACACAAAGTCTTTAATGAAACAAAAAATTACAACACTTCTACCTGTGAGCTTTGAGGCCTGTTTTCAGTCCTGATATTTGCTTTAGATGTATGTCAGTTTGGTAATTTGTTACATCAGCTAAATCATTAAACAGAACCTAAAACAAAATATCTCAAATAAATTAGAAAAAGTTCAACCAATATAAGAAATCAAGGCTCAGCCATGTGAAAGTCACTGAAAAGAAGAAGCACAGTTATAATGGAAATGAACTCAAAGAGCTCAAAGTAAAAACGTCTGCCAATCAGCACAGCAGGGTTACTAAATAAAATATGGAGGCCGTTCTCAAATGGCGCCTTTTACAATAAAAACTAAAGAAGTAATGGTGTTAAAAGCGTGTCCTGCATGCTGTTTGCAGTTAGGTGGGGCGCACGAGGACAACAAAAGGAGAAAAAGTGGTTCAGAAGTGTTTCATTGACATGTATTCGCCTCCCAGCGACCCCCCAACTTTACATACAGACGACCTCCTGATTAACTGTGAGGTGTGAACCCCCGGCTCACACAGGTCACCCCCCAACTTCTCAGTCAATGAGCCTGTAAATGAACTTTAATCACCTCTGTGGAGGGTCAGAGCTGAAACTGTTTTAAATGATCTGTTCATGACTCATCGTGGATTTATCTCTGAGCTCAAAGTTTCCCCTCACTGTGAGAAATCCCCTCTGAAAGCATGAAACACGTTCAGGATTATGATTCGAAAAGAAAATCCAGATGTTTGGGAGAATTGTGCAAAGTGGTGATGGAGGTGAAACATTGAGGGGAAATACTTTCAGACCTTACAAGTATTAATCTATTTAAATGCACTACCTCATAGTGGCTGTCAGAATGAAGCTTGATGCATATAATTCTTTATACGTGGAGGAACATTTCAGGTGGAGAGAGCCTCAGGTTTCCGTGCTCCGTCTGAGGATCACTGCGACTATTTCCTCCTTTCTGACTCCTCTTTTAATATTTTTGTCCCTTATTTTTCATTCACTCTTGGATAACTGCCAGTCTGCAGTCTTAAAGTTTAAAATCTTTGCATTTATATATATATGTTCTAATGCACATGTGAGATGCTCATCACCAAACTGATGTGATTTTGGTGTTTGATTTTTGATTTTTTACAGCAGGCCTGCTTTTACATAAACAGCTGTGCATGTCTTGCCCTCACTGCATTGCTCTGCATACCAAACAGCTTCCATACTCTTTCACTGAACTTACATTCATTGCTGCACGCGGCCTACTTTGTTCTTATGTTAGACTGAGCCAGCAAAACTCTTTTCTGTTAACATAAAGATGTTGAATTTGATTCCATCTAATATAAGAAGAAGGGGAGAGTTAGCAGTACGTCTCTGTGTTTCTACAGGATAAAGAAGAAATAAGAAATACGAAAGGTTAAAAATACAAACAAAAGGTTCTGGTAGCTTTAATCTTTATTGTTTATCTGGTACTTAATTACTTTGCTTTAGTTTGGATGAGAGCAGGAAAAGCTGAAAATATATTTCATAAATCTTTGCCCACATTTGCCGGGCCGGATTGGACTCCTTGGGGCCGGATTGGACTCCTTGGGGCCGGTTTCGGCCCCTGACCTTATGTTTGACTCTCTTGCTTTATAATAGATTTATTCTACAATAGATTATAGGTGTTTTATGCTTAGATTGCATTTCTACTTGCACAGTCATAAACGGGAGCCATCTTAAAACAGGATGTCCAATATTTAATGAATATTAAAACGTCACGTTTGCAGTTAAAGTCTGCAGCCGGAAGTTATTGTCGGTTTTCTGGAGAGTGTTGACATCCGTCAGCGCCCGTTAAAAATCAAATGAGCAGTTTTGTTTGTATCGTCTCGTCACTGGTTGCTAGAAGCGGAAGAGCTGCAGCCTCGGAGCGGATCGGCTCCTTTCGCTCTCATCTCGAAAACAAACGGTTAAGCGACGTCAACAGCAGACGGAGGTTATTTTGGAACAGCAGTGAACAAAGAGGGGCTTTTTCGCGCCCTATGTTTAAAAGCCCGGGAGCAGCCAATCAGCTTTCAGGTGACGCACACAAACCCTACGGCTTGACTTCTAGGAAAACAACCAATCACATCCGCGACTGCGCTGTGTGCCCTGCGTTCAAAATTAAATACACGATTTCCGCCAATCCGCTGCTGGGGGGACGGATCTGTGTGAGACTCGATAGTATAGTTAGTGCGGCCTCGCAGACGGTGACTAAACAGTTGACCGTCCTTCCTCCTTCACTCGTTTACAGCTCGTCTTGCGGTGAACAGGTAAGGCCCCTCTGCTTTCTAATAATTGTTTAGCAAACAGTGGCTGGAAGGTGTTTGTGCTTTGTTTGTTGTATTGCAATGGTGTGTGCCGAAGTTTCTGGGGCTATTTTAACCTTTGTGCGGTAAAAATACATCTGTGTTTTTTGGCCCGTAGGTCGTTTGCGTGATAAATCACAGCAATATCAAAACGGTGTTTGTGAAAAAGCAAGCAGTTCGCTGCTGTTTAAAACCGAAAAGCATCAGTTTTGTGGGGTGTTTTTCTTGCTCGGTGCTCTGTAAGATGGTGCTGTAGCTCAGTGTGTGTCCGACTTAGTGCGCAACATGCCGTTCAAACGCCATTTGGTTTGGTAGCTTAGCTCGCAGCACGACGGAAGCGCCTCTCTTTTTAAAGTTTGGATGAAGTCTCCGGCTGTCTCGGAGTCGCTCTGGGTGCTGGCTACACGTGTTTAAAGGCAGAAACCCGGGGAACTGCTCGCAGTGTAGCGGAGCGGCTGTATTGCAGAGACTTAGTTGGGGAAGTTTTTGGCGCAGTTGTGTTTAGGCGGGAAGATACAAAATGGAGTCGCGTCTTTTTGTCCCGGAGAGGCAGAAAGCCGATTAGAGCCTTAAAACACTCCCGGGCGTCTGCTCGCCCTATTTCTGCTGCGGTAACACCACTTACGGCCACACGACGGCAAATGTGAGGATATTACCCGCTTTAATTTAAAACGGTGAGGCCAGGGAGCGGTTATTGTGCCGGGGTGGGCGTGTAATACGAAACTCGGAGTCGTTTTGGTGGTTTAGTGTTTGGTTTCATTTCTGGTTTTCTTTCTGGTCTTTATTTTGCAGATTAATCGCAGCCATGACAAAGGATCCGAATAAGCCGAGAGGAAAAACCTCCTCCTACGCTTTCTTTGTGGCGACCTGCCGCGAGGAGCACAAGAAGAAGCACCCAGGGACCAGCGTGAACTTCGCAGAGTTTTCCAAGAAGTGCTCAGAAAGATGGAAGGTGAGCCCCGCGGTTTATTATAAGCACTGATGTTCTGATATTTTTTTTAATTTTATTTGTCCTTTTTAAAAATTAAAACGTGTGTGTGTGGTAGACCATGTCCCCTAAGGAGAAGGGAAAGTTTGAAGAGATGGCCAAGAACGATAAGGTCCGATATGACCGGGAGATGAAGTCCTACGTGCCACCTAAAGGTGCCAAGAAGGGAAAGAAGAAGAAGGACCCCAACGCCCCCAAAAGGCCCCCGTGAGTCTACACTCGCTGCTCTTTGTCTGTAAAATGTTTTCAGTTAGATTCTTGGGATTAAATTTGTTGTTTTCCCTTCAGCTCCGCTTTCTTCGTCTTCTGCTCCGACCACCGTCCCAAGATCAAGGAGGATAACCCTGGGATCTCCATCGGCGACATTGCCAAGAAGCTTGGCGAGATGTGGGCCACGCAGGGCGCCAAAGACAAGGCCCCCTACGAGGCCAAAGCCGCCAGACTGAAGGAGAAATACGAGAAGGTGCCCCTGTGTTTTCGGGTGGTGTTGGATGGTGTAGCGTGTCTCTGAGGTGGCGTTCCTAACGTGTCTCCTCTTCTCCTTTTCCAGGACGTTGCTGCCTACAGAGCCAAGGGTGGCTCTGGGAAGAGCGACGCTGGAAAGAAGAGCGGGCCCGGCAGGCCCGCCGCCAAGAAGGCTGTACCGGCTGATGATGATGATGACGATGATGAAGACGAGGAGGAAGAGGATGAAGATGACGACGACGATGAGGATGATGACTAAGTGGTTTCTGTGTTTGAGGATGTGAAGTTTGCGTTGTTCAGCTTATGTTTGTTTTTTGGGTTGGACTCGTCCAACGGTATAGCCTGCTGTCCCTGTCGGTCGGCCTCGGTCGACCTGTACTCCTCTTCTTCTAATTCAGGGATTTAGATTTTATTGTCCCTTAGTCCCCTTTAAGTTTTATTTTTGTTTTACAACTGCTGAAGTCGGGTCTGTTACACCTTAGATCCTGGTTTAAAAAAACGTGCAGCCAGATTATTTCCTGTGATGATGCGATGAACTGAAACTCCTGTGCAGACGGTGGACAGCAGCCAGCCAGGAAACGTTTTCTTTTCTTTGTTTGTTTTTTTTATTTTAAGAATGAT